TTGATTGTGTTATAATATTTCCTAATACTCAAACACTTACTATACATTTGAATGAACAATTAAAAGTCGGTAATACGTATGATGTTCGTATTTCATTCTTTCGAGCATTAAGTATACATGGAACTGGTATATTTGAAAATCAATTTAATACAAATCAATTTGGCACACAGTAAATGAAATGAATATGATTTTAAAAAACAAAAAAAAAGTATAATTTTATTTTTCTTGATTTATTTTCTTTTTAATTTTAGAACATCTCGAATGATATTAACACATTTTGAGCCAGTACATGCTCGAGAAGCATTTCCATGTTTTGATGAACCAGGTTTTAAAGCCAAATTTCAATTAACAGTAATACATGAGACTAACACTCAAGTTTTGAGTAATTGGAATGAAGAAGTAAGGAAAATAAAAATTATATTCTATGTAATCTCAATTTAATTTATTAGGAAACTATTGTGAGTCAAAATTTGACTTATACTGAATTTCAAACAGTACCACCAATACCAACTGCATTAATAGCTTTTGCAATATTTTATAGTAATGATTTTGATAAGAAAACAGCAATAGCAACACATCCAATAACTAATCGAAATATTGAGGTATGTTATAATAAATAAAATTTTTTATTTAATAAAAACTCTTCTTGTTTTTTTGCTTTGTGGAATTAATAGATTAATTTATGGGCACGAAAATTATTTTTTGTAAATGATAATGGGGCCTACATTGATGGACCACTCCATATGATTCAAGAAATTCTTACTGCTCTTTTAAAGATTTTTCAAGAAGTTCAAACTCCTATTGTGCCAAAGAAAATAGGTTTAACTAATTATTATTGATTCTAATGATTTAGTATTTAAATTTAAATATAATTTAGACATTCTTGCCGTACCTGAATATCCATCTGATGCAGTATCACATTGGGGTTTCATTATATTTTTTGAACGTGCTCTTCTTCATAATCCAGCAATAACATCAGAAATTGACCATCAAAAAATTGCTTTATCAATTGCTAAACAATTAGCTGAACAGGTTTGATTTCTATTTAAATCTATTATTTTCAAGATCTTTGTTTATTTTTTTGTTTTGTTTTTGTAAGTGGTATGGAAATTTTATTTCATTTCGATGGTGGACAGATTTATGGTTAGAAGAAGCAATTTCTAATTATTTAAAATATCATGCAGTTAATATGGCTTTTCCACAATGGAATATTGTAAATTTTAAATATAAAACTAGAAATCAATATTTTCATTAACTGTTTAGCATAATCAATTTTCTACTGGAGAACTTTTACCAACTATGTTTGATGATTCTATGAGTACATCACATCCAATAGTGAAAACAGTTAATAGTCCAACGCAAATTGATGAATTATTTGATAGTATTGAAACAACAAAAGCAACGGCAATTTTACGAATGGCTGATTATTATATGGAAAAAACTATGGGTTCGAAAAATAATACATTACTTAATGTTGTGGTAAGCTAGTAGTCAGAATAGTTTGATAAGTTCATTGACAAAAAAAATGTCAAATGCAGTGCTTTATCCAGCATATGGATCGAGAGAGCGATGTTTCTTCGAAGATCGAGTTTCTCATCTCAAAGTTAATGATTATTGTGCCATATATAGAGATGTACAGTTTCATTTTATTGACCATCGACCGACGTCACCAACTCAGTGTAATTAATGTACACTGGCGTCAGTACTTACTGATGCATTGAAACACATCGCTACAAAAAGGGCCTATTTTAATAGAGTTAGTGTCTCTATGTTGCAGCGAATGTGAAAGTTATGGTAGTTAATGCTTCAGTGAACCCTTTGCTAGTGACACACTGTTAAGCATTTACATCAACACTG